CGTGCAGTACACACAATTCGTACATCAGCCTGGTCCGCGGCTACTTCACTTATGTCTCCCGATAAGTTTGGCGTGCATGTATTTTGCAAACAATCCGAGGTTTACGTAAATTCATGTGCAAGTGTGTTGTCTGCACATGGAGTTTTTCAGTTACCCAGGTAGGAGAAGCGATTAACTTCTGTAACCCAAGCTAACGCCTTAGTTCTTAAAGCCCTTACCCGCAAAACAGTGAGGCGATTAACATATGTCGCGAATGGTCGAGAGCCGATAACACGACTTTGATTGAAAACAAACTACCTATGGCGCCTCGACAGTACGAGTATAGCAGTAAAAGGACCATGAACAGTTTCCTGAAACACCCGACTAGTTGCTGAATGCGAACACAGTCGACAGCCAAGTGGCTCAACCGCCTGGTCGATGGTAGTCCACACAGAAGTGAGTAGTAATCGAGGTTGTTCATTCATCATCTTTATACACGTTAGCTAGAGGTGGGGAACACCTCAGCTACTGTGCCGCAAGGTTGTTCATTCACCCTCCGTTAGATACTTCGTTCCAGTTAAAAAGTGCTTGGGCACTGACCCTATATCCGGAAAATTGGCTTTGTGGTATTTAATACATAACCAGGTGGCCAGCCTCAAACTGTCCCTGCTCTGAGATATTGCGCTGATTGCCCACGGCTGCCTATTGAACACACCTGCGGAATAAGCGAGACTCATTCACACTTGCGCTCAGTAGGAAGGCATTCCTCGATTCGCAACCTGCAGGAGCACGCCACGACGTACAACGAGCCCGGAAGCTGCTCGCTGTGTAGACATCCCATTCTGAGTCTCGTCTTGCATCACTACTTCTCTACCCATAGCACATCATGGTATCACCGCAGCATTAGTAAACGCCTAACTGTGGTTTCACTATAATCTTGGATTTTGTGGTCTACACTCTACCAATCTACGGGACTCGTTAAGCATTCATTTCATTGCCCCTACTAAACAATACTGAGTGTAACTTCCACACGTTGCTTTGAGGCGCGTTGCGGGCTAGCCATGGAACATGCACTAAGTCAACTCATATGTCAGCTGCATTACAATCTTATTGTCCACCTTGATACGTCGCCCATCGCAATAGCAGGACGGCAGGAAGATTACCGCGCTGCTATCATCGCAGCTGTAAACTTGTCTATGTCCACCCGTGCACATGCGATTTAGCGGTGTGAGCAAAGTAACCTGTGACATCCGTGCTTCAATGCGCCACACGTATTGTGCCTAGTGCCCCGTGTGCGCCATGTGTCCACAGCACGCGTTATATCGTACGAACAAGCGCCTGGGATTTAGCTTAGTAACACGGATTGCAGGCCATGTCAGAATGCGAGTACCCAGTGGCTCTATTTCATAACAGGCTCTGTTATAATGGTGCTGTGAATCGCGCTCAAATTCCTTATCATACACTGTGCCGTTTCCTCTTAGTCTACTGTACGTCACCTCAGATATTAACGAGTTACTCTCCCCATCCCCCGTCATGTAATCCGTCACCGCCCATGTGGCAAGTTGCACATGAGCAAACTCCGGGCTGTAGTGATTCCCCTACACCCCCGTTCCCTACACATGCGTACACGTTGCTGTCTACTATGTATTCGACATGCTATTGGCTGACAGCGCTTGGCTAAGGAACCAGCAGCACGACGGTGCGCGCATGTCAGAGTCGCCTAGCTCAACTTAGTTCTTTGGAAGGAGTAACCTGTTAGCATAACAGATGAAGTTGGTATCTGGTTAGCTCAAGTTGTTAACTGTACGGCCTAACGTGACTCGGAAATGGTATAGACCTATCCGATTGTCTTCTGTCCGTGGTATGTGCGGATTCCCGACGGACATCCCCTCCTCTAACTTAAGGATTGGAAGCGGATAATATCATACCTTCTCTGATAGTCCCTTTGATTCGACCGCTGCAATAATACATCAGGTAAATCTTGCTTGTCCCCGTGCAACATTCAGCATTCGATAAACTGTTCAAACTGCTGTAGCGAATTTCCAAGAAGTAGCTAGGTTATCATCCTATTAGTGTACCATAGGCAAATGTAGCTGAATACTCCACTGTGGAGCTATGCTATTTTATAACACTTTGTCATCACACATGTCAATCGCAGCCATTCTGGGCTAAACATAAATTGTCTATATGCGTGGATTTATCTTGCGTTACAATATGTACTAAAGCACTGCATTTCCATCATACTTGAACTAACATACTTCCAAATCAATCAAGATTGGCCACTTCTAATTCTAGCAGGAGACTTTGCCCTATCGCTTCTAAATTGGAAGGTAGCTGCATTTTCCTAAACGCACCAAGATCCAGTATGACTTAGGAATAACGGGAAATATAGCTACACTCACCCTCATGAATAACATGTGGAACAGAGCATGCATTATCAACATAATGAAAATTGCTAGTCAGTTACTTGCCGGGATTGTTCAACTTACACGGATGTGCGAACGTGGACACTTATAACAAAGTTGTAGAGCCTTGAAGCCCGAGGTTCCAACTGCACTGCAAGGCGAGGAAGCGTTATGGAGTACTTGGATTCCAATGATAATTGTTGATCACTAGACCCTATTCTTCACCCGAATGAAGGGCGAATGTGGAATATTGTAAGCAGCAAGCACTTGGTAGCCTGGAGATAACGCGGTCCCAACAGAAGCTGGTGCTTCTAGTAGCACAACTGCTAATCAGCAACCACAGATCACCAAATAGCCCCCAGATATGATTGCATGCTAGCAGTGACCACCTACCCCAGGCTTTATAGAGGAGCATGCGTGTGGATAGCCTACCAACCCCATAGATTCACTAATGTTCCTTTGAATCCGTCACACATGCACACACGTATCGATGTTCGGCGATTGTGGCCTTTCAACTGTGCATACAGAGTATGCTAACAGGAAGAGCGGTCTTATATTCCAAATGAGCAACACTCATATCGACCTTTCGAGACAAAGAGGTCACTAGCAGTACGAGTCGCACTCGGGTCTGACACTAGGTCGAAAGTGTCAGTGAAACGCCGGTGATCGAGACTGAAAAACATTATCGTACCGGAAGAACGAATGTGTTCCCATGCTTTTAAGTTCCGGTCACCGTGTGGATACTGGAACCTAGTGAGGAAAACTCCTAGAGCGTATGGTAACATGTATTCATGCGCCTGGTTATTGGGGCTGTCTTTAGGCTCAGGCTAGGCGACTGCACAATGTCAGCACCAACGCACTGTAATCATGGACGCGCATGGTGGTGCATGAGACACCACAATCCCAATGAGAGAACATCCTGGACAGTATTGTCACTAACGTCTGTGGCTTCGGTTTGGAGGTAAGAATAACAGCCAGTTTTCATGTTAGGATCATTTGTGCCTCGAGATTTAAGTGCGCGATAAACGACGCCTCACTGACAATCTCGAACAATACCTGCGTTCCGTCGGGCTTACCAATTTGCATCCTTTTGGGTCCACGCAACCTGGCTTAAATTGATTCGGTTCGTCCATCCGTCACGACGCACAAAACACTGAGTTTGAGCCTCGTTGTAATTCTGCACCATTCTGGGCCTTGGAGAGCACTTTGGGCATGACACTTAGCTTAGCAAAGAATACGTCGTAAGTAGCATACGAATGCGACCGTTGAAGTATGTGCATGAGCAATTCAAAGCAAACATAATAGATGTAACTAGATCAAGGATAAATCGGTGTAGCCCCACTGTTGTGAAGAACCATGGTGTATGCAACATCGGCCTCAGCATAGGGCAAGCGTACATACATACATGGATTTGCCGCATCCGTAGCTGGAGTTGCCTGTCACTGTGGCCTCCAAGTGGACAGCCACAGAACGCTTGCCCGTAAGTTAATATCCCTAACTACGCACATGGGTGTGTTTCACTACAACAGACGTTCATTGGAGTACAGTCGGCGCCAGCAATATTTAAATAGGATTATTTACGTTGTGGTGAAAGTATTACCCGTTCTATGCGCTTATGTATATGACATTATAATTTTTTTGTTTGCACTTACTGCGAACACATATCATCATCTGAGAGGGCCTTGATAAACCTCCAGTACAGTGCACTCTAGCTGGTGGAATCCAAATATGCTTTTGCCTTCAGTGTTTAGCATATTGCTATGTTTTGATAAACATGGTTTGCACCCACTAAAGTACCACGCAGCATCAGTGAGCTGCCATTCTTTCCTGGTTCAGTAACAGACTATAGTCCACACGTACAGCCACCACTTTCGCATCACGGTACGCTTTACCAAAATACGCCAAGTGACAGTGGTCAGCCAAAGTACAAGGCTTTAGATCCTGTCAAGGTAGCCGTTGGTATGGCTAAGTTGTTAGTACATTTTGGTCCGAGTAGGCCTATCACCTTCCGATATGACGCGGAAATACCAAGGCCCGGCGCCGTATTGTCCCACAAGACGGATAATCAGATTCGAAAATCCATCGCTTTAGCATCTTGGAGCTTAGCGCCGACAGCGAAGAATTACGCACAACTAGATAAGGAGGCGCTAGCACTTATATTCAACGTTAAAAATTTCAGCTGTGTCTCCCGGAAGATGTCTCAAGATCTTTACATGTCACAAACCCCTGTTAGCCTTGATTTGTAAACATAAAGGCATCAACCAGACTTCATTTCAGAGTATGCAACCTTGGGCCTTACCTCTATCGGCTTATTTTGACGCTATCTCTTAAGTTCCTGGAAAAGTAAACGACGCTGTGGGTGTCTTAAGCCGGTTTCTTATGGATATTCTGTCCGATTGTGTATTGGAACGGACTGAATTAGTCCATTGAATGCAGAACTTAGCTAGGAAGCCGGTGTTGAACGTGGATATCCTCCGTGAGAAAGCGCGTGATATATGTGATGGGTCTGAGAGTTGGGGCTAATGAAATCGCCTGCCGCAGTTTGGTCCATCAGGCGATCGATCGAGTAGGCAGGTGAGTCTTTAAAATCACAGTTAATTATACTTTGCCTGCGACCTGTAATTAGAGCGGTTGCCTGCAGAGTCGGAACGCGTTGTTTCGTTTGAAGCGGTTGGCAGAGCCAGGCATTTCCTACAACACTGTAGTGAAAGAAATAGCAAATTAAAGCGTGCGAAAGTCGAACTACGCAAAACGGAAGTAGCAGTTCCATGGCACGTGCTGCTTTTAACAGCTTTGAAAACGGATCCAGAAATATCAGAGCCATAAACCAGATGTGTCCCCCCACAGATGCAAAGGCGGTTAGCATAGTAAACGGAATGGTCAACTACTGGAGCCGTTTCCTTCCACGGCTGGCCGATGTGACGTTACTGTTTCGGAAGTTGACCTATAGGGGTGAAGCTTGACACTGGGGCTCTGAACAAGCAAATGCCCTTAGGAAGATCAAGGAATTAATTACCAAAGCGCCTGTCCTTGCCTACTCTGATTTGTCGCTTCCATTAGAGATTCAGTGTGACAGTATCCAATACGGCATTGGATCTGTGCTTATTCAAAGCGGTAAGCCTGTCCATTTTCGCAGTGGCACGCTCACAGGGGCCGAGCGTCATTACGCTGGGCCTCGTTTACGACGTATAACGCTTCAACGATTGTATGTTCGGCTGCAAAACAACTGTCTTCACTGACGACAAGCCACTTGTATCCATCGCTAGTAACGCACTCAATGTCGCTCCACGCCGTCTGCAAAGGATGCTCATTTGTCTGCAAAAGTATGACTTGGACCGACCATGATCCCAGATACGTTGTCAAGGGCCCACCTGTCAGATACATCGGGAATGGAAGAAGACCCGGATTTTGTCCACGCAACACAGCTGCCCACGGTCACTAAGGAACGTTCACATCAGCTCCAACGGTGCACAGAAGAGGACTAAGAGTGCAAACTAATGAGGCGGAGGTTAATAGACGGATGGCCAGAAGACAAGCAAAAATTGCCCAAAGTGTCAACTCTGTTCTATCATTTACGCGATGAACTCATCACCTAACAGGGTTTAATATTCAAGGGTAACTGGCTAGTGGTTCCGAAGGCATTGCAACTTTCAATGCTGCAAATAGTACACTATACACATTTGGGAATCAATAATTGCGTGGCAGGAGCACTTGAACTGATGTTCTGATCAGGAATGTCTAGACAAATACGTGAGTATCAAACTGTTTAGTATGCAGGACACACGATGTGTGCCAGCCGAAGGAGTCAATGATGCTTCCTGACGTTTCGGATAGGCCCTAGCAGAGGGTCGCACTGGACATTTTTGTTCACGACAGGAAGAGTTAGTTAATTGCAGTCGACTATTTCAGGGAGTACTTCGCGATTGACGCCCTTACATCAACCTGCGCGCAAGCCGTAGTGCACGAGTTACAGTGTCAAATCGCTCGACGTGGAATCCCCGAGTTGGTGATTTCCGACAACGCCAATCTGGCGTAAGGAGGTTTCACTACCACGCCAGCGAGATGACATCTAAGTGAGTGGTAATAAGAAACGGATTGGTAGCTTTTGTTGAGGCTGCAACCTATGCTGGCTGTTGGAAGAGAAGCTTTGAAGTCTTAAGGGTGAACTGCACGGATGTCTTCCTTGCTCGCTTGCCTATCTGACCACACGAGATACGGTATGCATAGTGTACTCGTGCCACTGCGAGAAATCTAGAGAATCGATCCGTATGTCATTTCGTTCAGGAAATGCATGTGATTATTAAGGCAGTGTGACGTAATGAGCAACAATGCAGTACTTCGTACGAAGGAGGTAAAACTACGACTCGTTCGCAACTAGGAATTTTAAAGCCCGTACAGTTAAAAAGTTCTTGTGCCGTGTTGTTTCAGTTGGCCGTACACTGATGTGCATAGTGCAGCTACGTACTGATGACGTACTCGGCGAAGTGTATACTAAAGTCAAGTTCGTTGGGTATGTACGACCATCAGTGGATCTGTAGCCATTGTTTCAAAGAGCAGGGTTTCTTGTGTGGCTGTGACTTGATAGTAATGAGGGTTCCTTCGTCTCCACACCTGGGGACTACTTTGGTAATCAGTTACCGCTTTAGTATCCATGGACCTGCCGTTATGTAAAGGTGGTAGATGCATGTCACTCCTCATTTCAACGTGATATTTACGCTTCACTTGCATGTGATTGATGAGCTTGAAATACCAGGTGGCCGTACGGCCCTGATATGATCTGCCAAGGAGCACTGCATACGCATTGTAAGCATAGGGTTTGGAGCAAGTTTCCTCCTTCAACAATGCTTCCGCAATTACCTACTTTCCAATGACAAAATGTTTCCGAGTAATTGCTAAGTCGATAAGAAAATGTGCCGGCGTGCACACATGAGTGCTTCTAAGACTAACTGAAACAGTGGTCCATAGCAGGAGTAGTGAGCGCGGTTGCCTTTATAAATGATTGCAAACACATTGTAGGAATGCCCGTAGGTGAGACAACAGTGTTTGTCTGTTCCAAGTACTCACCTGAATTACCAGAGTAAAATGCGTGCTTGGCCACTACTTATCAGCCTTGCGTTTTTTCCAGCAGGACGATGTGGCATGTATAAATACGGTAGTCATTGTAGCCTCTTTAGGTGTTTCTTTGTTGAGTAATGCCGATTTCAAGAGGATAGCATTCCAGTCCATGGACGTAATAGGGAGATTTCATCTGTATTGACTGTGCTTCTAATGGTGCCATTCAGAAAGCCACTTGTCAAATCGTCTCAACACGTATGGGCAACCATATGAAAGTAAAGTCTAATTATCCTAGGAATACATAGGTTCCTATGACCTTTAAATAACGCCATACATGGAGACACGGAAGGGATAACTGATTAACAAAGTCGCTCATGGGTGTGGAGACAAACGAACACTCACCAACATCTTGTTAACGCCACACTCGGAATCCTCTTAGTTTGTGTTTAGCCATCATCTGTGGTAGAAGGAAGCAAGCAATAATACGTTCGTTGTTCAGCTTCAGGTTGTTCTACTAACTTCAATGGGAACAATGTCCCCCACGATCGTCGCAATAACAATCGCACAAAATTGTATAACCGCCTAGCATCCATTGCTGAACTGCGGAATACCAGTCAGAAAATTGCCTGTCTACCACGCTACGGTTAGTCTGATGAATAAGCCACTACCAGGTAGCCGCTAGCGAGCACTAAGTATAGCCTGCTTCATGTGCTGGTTAGCATGTCTGTCCGCACTGGTTACGGCTTAAGCTTCGTATCCTGTGGTAGCTAGGTTATCCTCCTTATACAGGCATCACAAGTTGCCCATTGGACGGTTTCAGTTTGGAGACCAATCATCGAGGTTTCCTTCAGATAGGCATCAAAGTAGAACAGAAGGTGGTGTTCGGCCACTCATTGGACTGTCTGTCGCTTATGCTGGTGGCTTCCAACTGGTGTCCCATTGGCTAACGTCCTATGACCAATGACAGTGGCCACGACACCAAAACAGTGTTCTTAGCCTCGCTAACTGGAAAGCACTGCACACGATTTCGAAAAAGTGTCACGATAAATGCTTGGTACAATGCGCTAACATGCCTGCTAAATCGTATAGTTGGTCCGTTCCAGGCTGTCCGAGAGAATGCGAAGGAGCGGAAGTGTGGCGTCAGATAGTAATGCTCAGCTTTGACTGTCCCAACATGTGAGTGTTTATGTCCGTGTGTCGATTACCCACTCACTATTGGTTTGTCCTCAGCGAGTTGATCGGTACATTGTGCAGGTTCTTGCTAGAATACACGTTGCGTGATAGCAGCTCGGTGTGTTCTGTTTCCCTTACGTCTTTCGGTTACGAGCTATGACCGCGTTCGTAGGCTTTCCTTAATTTTGCACGTGTATATGTCAGCAAATCGAAGAGTAACATTTACCAAATGTAGGGCTTCGGTGTGGCCGGGTCCCTTCCCTGCACGCCCCGACGAACGGTTTCCTACTGGTTTTGGCTCATCAGGTAAAGCTAGCCGAACTTGGAGTGGGACTCGACGCATAGTTCTTGGTGGTTGCCGCCATGAACACGGAGCCATTGAGCGTCACGAGTAGTGTTTGACTCAGTGGTTATTAGATGCTTTTTTGGGTTCTGGAGCACCCACCGTTTCACTTGGAGTGCGGCGCGCAATCTCACTTGTGGCATGGGTTGATTTTGAAGTCAGAATCAGCTATTACGTCTATGGTCTCCCAAACGTACCGTAGCCCCTAAATCACCAACATTGATAAATTCCACTAAGCCACCTAAACTTCGAGGTCGCCTAAGTTATCCGGCTGATCCACTGAACCATGCATTCACTTAGTTTAAGTCTATCCTAGGGAAGCTAGACGGACTCTAATAAAACTTGCATCTTTTGATCACTTGGGGATAACGCTCAAAATACTCGAAAATGTGACTGCCCTAATTCAGACGACGGCAATGTTAAACAAACATCATCTCAATCCCGCCGGCATCTACATTAATGTTGTGGCAGCAGAAATGTATAGTAGCATACAGTGTTCTAAAAACGCAGTAGACTTCCATTTGTCCGATAAACTGCATAAAACTCCGCTTAATGTAGGTACTATGAAAGACATTCCGTGCATATGGACAAGACTCCGAAAGAACATTTAGCACAAAACCTGTCCCATACTCTTTCAATCTAGCGACGCAATGATGGCGAACGAACTCTTGAAAAAGGGCGTAACACTAGGCATATCAATTGAGAAAACACCCCTGCAGAAAACAGTTTAGAGAAGTCAGCCGCTGACGTCATCGGAAGGCGATCGAGCCACCAGTTTTGACATAGCTACTGTCACGAATACCGACAGTACTCATGAGCCAAAATGTGGCACGGGGTTTCAGTCAGCCCTAAAACTAAAAATATTAGCTAACGCCATGCATCCGTTCGAGGAATATTCTGACTGCAACCACTATCCTCAGTGCAGAAGCGTCTAGTCATGCAACTATGACACTTTCCCATTCTTCGAAACGCAAAATTTTACTTAAAGAAGTCAAACGAAAATATACAAGGCCATTGTCAGCAGCGGGGCATCATAGGCTATACATACACGTGACAAAAGTTCCAACTTGTAAAAACTATCCTTCCAGGTTCCAGAGCAACGCCTTGACTCATTGGTCTGCGCACCGCAACTAGCGGTTGTCGTTGTGGACCTCTCCAGCAATACACTGGGTAACCAGGTGGGTCATTGACAAATGGGGATTTACCCTTTAGCTAATGTCCGAGCAAATTATGGTAGCTATGTATTAGGGTACCTTATGCCCAGCAGCGATTATGAAATTAGTTTTAATGTGTACCCTCAAATTAGTGGGCCAGGTACAAGGAAGAATATAGAAGAGTGTCCCGTTTATCGGTACACACTTGAACCAAAAGTAAGACATATTTCTATGGCTTCGCACTACAGTCATATCCACGACGATTGTGAGCGTAATGGAGACTACAGACGTAGCGGAAATCCCCGTCACCTAAATGTCGCTCTGCAGCAACAGTTCACACCTACTGCTGTACCAATACCCTATCGGAACCTCGATCCTCCACAATGTCTTGAGCCTTTCGAACTACCCGCAACAGTTGCACACTCCAACTCCTGGTTATGCTGTCTTCAATTCTTACTAACGCTTATTCATCGCACCCATCGCATCCTCTAGATCCACAAACATCTTGGCTACCCGGCGACAGCTGTGTCGCTGATAGGAGAACTTTGATACACCAGAGCACCCTTAATCCCCTCTTTCATCTTGTCTGCTTGTTTGGGAATACAGTGGATAGCCACAAAATGCTCCCACCAATATGTGCACCTTCCCCACCTCAAATACCCCTGAACTATCCATATTCCATCAGCTCATACGCCTGCCTAAAGCACACGGAGTTATTGACATTCCTCTTATGAACCCTCGTTCCATAAACAACAAGATACATTCAAAGTTGGACTTGGAGAGTCCGCTGTCTGCTACCTATTTGTCGAACCATCAAATGGTTCTCGTCACTGACCACATATGAAAGTCACATTATAAGAACCCAGGATATATTAGCTCCGCTAACACCCGGTGTAATATCCAACGAGAAAGTAACGTGATATTTGTCGACTAAAGTATTCCCG